ATCCGACTGTAATTCTCATTTTTTCTATATAATCGTGTCATCACGATTCATAAGAGGCCCCACACCATGGATCGATTCGGCGTTGATACCATGTTAAGACCTGGGGTTCCATCTTAAAAGGTCAATTTCATAAGAGTAGTCCAAAACCTTATATAGGGGTTAATTGTTTTATACTCCGTAGTTTTTTAGTGTGTGGCAAATGTTTTAACAGTTATCCTAACAACATACTATAACGTTGGAATCTTCACAAATTGAAAGTGGGTGAGATTATGAATAGTGGCAGGGAATATAAATTGTTGAGGGTATGATGGGAAGATAATAAAATAGTGTGATGAAATGAAGGATAAGTCCAAAAGAAGCAGGTGTAATAGTGTATTATTTTTAAAATTATTGGGAATATGATAGAAACATTTAGAAATGGAAAGATTATTTTGTTAAGGGTTAAAAAAAGAAAGTGAGAGGATGTTTACGTCACGGAATTAGTATTTGTTGGGGAGGAGTGACAGATAGAATGAGTGCTCTTTGAATCAGCCGCGCGCCCCAAGTTTTTGTTTGTTTCTTTTCGCTTTCTGTAAACTCGAAGACCCGCGCTAGCTTTGCTTCAATGCAATTTTTCCACTATAGATTTTAGAGCAATTTCCGCTTTCTGTTTGTTTCTTTCCGCTTTCAGTACCGTTATTATAAATCTGGTTTTATAAATTCTATGGTACCCAAAAGGTACCATACATTTGTCTACATGGATCAATGAGAATGTAACAATTGAATTATTTAAATCTAAATTAAAAATGATAAAGTGACGTGGTTCAATCAATACCAGAGTTGTCACCATCTGGTTCATTATGAGAAGGATCAAATTCCCGTTCTGTGGGAGATCGTGCCCAGCCCAGGTAGGTGTGGGAGTATTAAATTTTGAGGTGCCGGCCATTAAAAGCCTTCCTGCCACTATCGGGAAACCCAAAACAATTCATTTCCTTCTCCTCTCACATGCCCACGCACCCAATTCCCTTCTCATGGCCGCAGTAGCAGTGACGACGAAGACAATCGCCGTCCTCCTCCTAGTGGTGGTTGGGCTGGACGTCACCGACGCGCAGGCGCCGGCGGGGGCTCCGTCGGAGGCGGCGGAGGACTGCGTGACGGAGTTGCTGGGGATGTCGGATTGCTTGACGTATGTGGAGGCAGGGAGCAACCTGACGATGCCGGAGAAAGGGTGCTGCCGAGAGCTGAAGGAGATTGTGAACAATCACCCCGTCTGTTTGTGCAAACTTCTGGCTGACCCCAACAATAACAATGTCGGAATCGCAATTGAGCTCAAGAAGGCCTTCAATCTCCCAGCGGTTTGCAAGATTGATTCCCTTTCTCCCAGCCTCTGCTCAATTCCTGCTCAGGGGCCATCATCCGGAAAAGCAGGAAGTCCGTCTACTGCAACAGGTGATAGTGGTGGGTTAGCGTCTGGTCCGTCTGCTGGGAAGGGGGCCAGTGCTGCTCCAAGAATCACTGCCATTCCCTTCTTGCCTTGGCTGCTAATCTCTCTTTTTCATCTTTTCTTTAATTCTATCATCAGCCAAAATTCATTTAATTGATTTCCCACCATTCATGCCTTCTTTAATTTTCTACTTTGAGGGAATTTTGATTTCTTAACTATGTGTATTGTTTTGTCCAAAAACAATATTGTATTGCTTACAATATTTCTTATATTTTCTTGACATTTCATGGTATATATGCGTAATGTTTGCCCTAAAAGAAATGAGTGCTCTGTGAATCATTAGTTAGTTTTTTTATGGATATGCATTAATTGTGTTCTTTATTCTATGCTACAAAGCCTGCAAAAAATAATTCAACTTTTATAAAATTTTGATATAAAAAGTAAGAGTTTAAGAGTGATTTAAGTTGACACTCGATAAGCGAAATGGAACTTCTTTTAGGGACAGAGGGAGTACTATTTTTGTGAAGTTAATGATTGAATGGTGCATATTATGCTATCTAGTCAAAAACTCATTCAAGTAAGAAAGCCAATAGAAAAAATAATTCTTAATAAAAGGATCAATTTTTTTTAATTTAATTTATGATGGATGAACAAAGTTATGTGGATGGTTTCTTATAATACATCATTGATATCATTTTCAGTAACAACACATTGTTGTGGTCTTGAATTAATTCAAGTTGAAGATTGCTATTAGTTATACTTCCACTATTGCATTGTGAGGTTCAGAGATCAAAGTTGGGATAGGTGTTGAAATACATCATAACTCATGTCATTCCTCATATATAGAATCCTTTTTCTCATCCCACTTAATGACATAAAGAGTGGTTTAACAAAGTGGTAAATTGTTCATCTACCAAAGTTAAATATGGTGTTATTGTTTCACATTCATATCCAACTTTAACGTCACTTTTCATTTAAGATCCATTATGGTATCAATTGGGAGGCATAATAAGCACATGTGCTTAACAACAGATTATCAGCAAGTACAATCTCAAGTTTATATATAATCAAAAAGTGTATGCATAAAACTGAGTGGGTAGTAGTGGTTCTACCAACAGATGTGTGAGGTTGCTCTAAATCCTATATATAACAGGCATGTTGGTGTACACATAACTATTGTTATATCAATTATTTATATCCTTTAAAATGATATAAATATGATTCTCACGCGTATAATAAGATAACATGTGACTTGCATGTAAAATCATCCACAAAAACCATAAATGGTGTGAATGATTGCGATTTTAGGTACATAAGTCCATATATTTCCCAAGTTATTCTATGTAAAAATGTGAATGTTTTTCTTATTCATAACATCTGAATGTCTCAATGGTATTTACTCTAAAGTACATACTTTGCAGAAAGAATACACATATGACAAAAGTCAATGAAGTACACAAAAAATCTCTTCTTGTATTTTGGAAATTACATGTTGCTATCTAGCAGTATTTGGAGCTCCATTTTGCATTCTCCTATCTTATCCTTTACTAGGAAGAAAAGCTTTCCAAATCAGTTGTGTCATAGCGTGTATGAGTCAATATCACATACAGACAGAACAATCGAAATAATAGTGATATACATTTACTAGATTTACTTATTAGTTTCTCTTATATACATTTTTTGTTCATCAAAAGTAATATATCTATTCTATGATTTTTCCATGTACTTCAGTATAAAAAATGGTATCATAAAATAAAGGTAATTAATGAAAATGTAGAGTGCAAAGCAACGTAAAGAAAAACAAAGTACGAATGTATATATTTACTCCCTCTGTCCCTGATTATCATCCAACTTTTCATTTTTGTCCATCCCAATATAATCTTCATTTTTCTTTTTTTCGGCAAAGATTTTGTGTCTTCACTATTTTAATTTCCATGCCAAATGTACTTTGGTAGATAATTTAGGGACGGGGGACTATGTAGGTGTGTTTGGAAAGAGAAAATAGAAGAAGTTAACTTTTTTATACATTAATTTGGATGTGAAAGAATACTGCAAATTGAGTCATATGATGTGCACCTACTTTTTGAGTACTTTTTTGCTTACCTGTTTTTATACGAATTTCTTACATTTTTTCTTGTGTATATCTTACGAATTGCCTGTACACACATGTGAAATGCAGAGGCACGTAAAAATGGCATCTACAATACAGATTTTTACAACTTTTTTACTCGTCTCCAGCTCTACTATGAGTACATTATTTTACTCTTCTTCCACCCCTCCAAACATATTGTTAAGCTCTAACCTCTTTGTTGACACATTGTAAAGCTCAGGCCCAGTCTTAGGGCATGAGCAACCGGGCATTTGCACAGGGCCCATCACTCCTTTAGGACACATAAATTTCTCAGTATATATATACTATTTATTTTAATTGTATATGCAATATATATCTATAAAAATGTAATAAAAAATTAAACTAATTTTTTATACTTTCAATTCATTATTCAAAAACATCTACAAGCTACAAGTTTGAAATTTTGAAATTAGACATCAACACCAGAATTTCTTGAGAACAAACTATACAATTTCTTTTGATTCATTAAGAGTTAACACATAAATGTTTAATATTTTCAACTACTTTTCTATGTAAACCCATAGATTCATTGATAGTATTTTACTAGTTTTCTTTGATTCTCTCATTTAAGTGAAAGAATTAAGAAATTTGTGGTTTGTTTTAGTCTAATGAAAATATTATTTGAAATATGAAAACGTATTTCATATATGATAAAACTTTCAAGTGTTTCCCTAATTCAATTTTTTCATGACGAGTATAAATTATACGGAGTACTATTTCCCATTCTGCCGGTGTAGGTACATGGTATTCTCGAATGTCACTCATCTAATATTTAAATATAATCTTTCTAACCATCGCCTTTATTAATTTTTTGGTGTGTTATATATACTCGTATTCAGATGATAAAACTGCTTAATTTTACTTATATATTTTTTATAAACATTTACACGATATCACTAAGACCTACTCTATCTATACTTTTGGGCCTGGTAAAAGCTTTAACTCAATCGAATCAAATAATGTAGGAGTTGAGGCATGACGTCTAACGTCATAAGAAAAATTAACTCTGATTTTCAAAAGTTTCCAAAAAATTAAAAGATTAATACTAGAAGGTGTGTCTCGTCAAGGAGACTAACAAACTATTATTCTCTTTGGATTTTTAGGCTCAATTTGGATTATTTTTTAAAAACTAATTTGCTAATATCATTTTTCCGGTTGACTTTCTGGCAACAGGGTGACCGAAAGCAAAAAATGAAAGGTGGTCTGGAGGTCTTCTTGACGAGGCGCACCTACTGATATTTTTCTTTTAACTTTTTGGAAATTTTTGAATAGTGAAATTAATTTTTTCAATACGTCATGCCTCGATTGTGATAACAAAATTGAACCACATATAACATTTTGTTAAAAAATGAAAGACGTGCCCCATATAAAAACGATCCAAACCACATGTTTCTTTTCCTTGTACTTTTCCCACAAAAATTGTTTCTCCTTTTACTCAGCCAAACACAGCCTTGCACGACTCGCACACAAGCTCGGAATCCACTCGGGTCTATTTCACACTACCCGTCAGTCTTGGATTTTGGCCCCGTGATTTCTACAACTTCCACGTTGTTCAGAGATTCATTTCAACCATTCATGGCTTTTCCCCATCCGCAGGGCTCACCTACAGGAGCTACCGCCGATCAGATGAATCTCACCGTAGCGTCGTCTCCTTTAACTCCGCCGGCAAGTGCAATTTATGCTTTCTCATTCCTTACACAATTACAATCAAAGCATTCATCAGATTTTAACAGGCTTTTACCTACTGTAAATCTGTAATCATTATGATTATTTATGAATGAATAGAAATTCTTGCTTTTAGCAATCACTTAGAGTTTTTGAATTTCGGGCTGGTCTTTTTTACTGGTTTTTCGATGTTGGACCCTGCGAGCGTTTATTCTGTCTGGAAAATAGAGTTTAGCTCCTGTAATGGATTTTTTAGCATTCTGTTAACACGGAATTCCTACTTTATCCCTCGGGCAATGCCGTCCAAGAACAAATGCAGTTTATGAAGTTTGGTATTTCAAATTTGAATCTTTTCTTCTGTTCTTACTTCTTACTATGTTTGTATTTGTAATGACAGTGGTGTGTGTTTTTATAAATAAAAAACCTTGTATAGATTATACGGAATAGTGTTTTACAAACATGGTCATGGGTTTAAATGTGGACTAAGGCCTTTATATATTTGGTTTGAAAATTGTTGCGGAAAAGGAAAACAACACTTGGCTCCATAACTCTGTAGGCTGCATGTTTTCATGTGGGGAAATGATTGGCTAAGTGATTGGCTCCATAACTTTAATTTTATTAGTGTACTTGAAGATGAAGTAAGGATGCAAGTTAGCTGAGCAAGCAAGCATCTTCTTAAGCTTGGGTTGGTATTTTGTTGAGCCTGCTAAAGAAGCATTGGGGGCAACTAACTGAGTGAGACAATGAGTAACATAACCACTTGAGCCTCTCAAGCGGTATGTCGCTCTCTTGGAGACGTGCTCATGCTCATAGACCCTTTGAGTCGGGCCATACTGTTTACCACTTTATTGTATTTCATCAGCTCCTTTTTCTTTTTCTTTTGTAGTTTTTCTTTTTTATCAATTCTCAAGTAAGGCTTGATTCTAGTATGGTTGCCTGTGCTTTATACATAGTATGTGCTTGCTCCAGCTTCATGTTTCTGATCTTGGTATATGCACTCATATTAAGTTGTGCCCGAATAGTGTTGTGCTTGGACTGGGTTGGCACGAGCATGCCCCCCAAAGCTATAGAGATTTCGGATTAGTGATTTACGGAGTATTAAAATAAAAACTTGAGTTTACTAAAAAAAAGTTTAGGAGTAACTAAAGACTCGATGTCTTTTGGCTTGGGAATATGATGAAATAAAGCAAAATGACTCACTAAAATGACTCCCCTTACCCCACGGCACTGGGGTAATGTTGTATTTGGGTAAAAGTGCAGACGTACTTCTGAGTGGTCCAAATTGCTTCTAGAAGAAGTTTTTTTCAAGTTTTTGAAAAACTGATTCTGCTTTTTCTTCTATTTTTGAAAAAGAAGCAGAAGAAAAATCAATTCCAAATACTCCTTTAGTATTGTTTTGGATAATGTTTCTTCTAGTGTAGTGTTCTACAAACTTCAGATCCAAATATTTTCTCTTAAAACCTGGTTGATCATGATTGCCATTTTTGTAAAGGCGCACTCAGAGTCATATTTTGCCAAACTGACAAATTGGCCCTACTGTCAAGAAAACAGCAACTGGTCCTCCACAAAAAAAAATAGTTTGATAACTTGCTATTTTCTGCTAGTGTACATCCTAGATAGTCTCCCCCACAATGTTTCAGTTTGTGTAACACTAGTTGGTGTTTCTCTCAAAAATATATTGCTGTGTCTTTGAAATGCATGGAAACTTTAGAATTAGCTTTATATATTTGAAGATAATGCGGAGACTTTGAAAAGAATGAACTTCCAATGCAATTCTAGAGTATTTCTTTATTTATTATTACAATGGGGTGTGTTCTAACTTCTAAGTAGTTTGTGTATGCTCTTTCTTTAGATGGTAGAAGGAAACAATGAAAATATTATGGATACGACAGATCTGACTGACACAAGCACAGGCGAGAAACGAAAAAGAGAAGGAAAGCTTAGATCTGTTGTTTGGCAACATTTCACAAAGCTTATAAGGGAGGACGGGACCTGCGAGAAATGCAAGTGTGGCCATTGCAATAAGCTTTTCACTTGCTCAAGTCGAAGCGGAACAACACATTTGCTTCGCCACTTAACTGAGGGAAGATGTCCAGTCTTTAAGCTTGACAAGAAGGATGACCACGCACTTACAAATACAATCAATTTCAGTTGTTCGAGTGGTAAAACTGATAGAAAAAGAACCATGCTTCTTCCTTGGAAATTCGAACAGCCACTTGCTCATCAACCCATTGAACACTCCATTGACATGGCCAATGACTTCTTCATAGGGGAGGAGGGCTTAGAAGATCTTGACCCTCGAACCAGTGGATACCCAGATGGTGACTTGGTCGGACAATCGTCAACATCTGCTGCATATGCTAAACTCCCTCAACAGAACACAAAAGGATCTCAATTGAGTGGAGAGGCATGGGTGAATGAGTTGAGGGCATGCACAAGCAAACTTGTCAAACTCACAAATGAGCAGTTTCCTAATAGTTTGTTCTTGAAGACTTGTTTGGCTGGAAGTGGTCCTGATTACTCCCTACGTACAGCCATAAAGTACTTGAATGAAATGGACGATACTATTCCAGAGTCGAGTGCAATGTACCTAGATGCTCTTGATATTATCAGAGATCCAGTAGAAAGGGAGTGTTTTCTTTCTCTAAACCCAGAGCCACGTAGAAAATGGCTTCAAAGGACACTACACCGCCGATATCCTTCTCGTTACAATAAAGACGTTTAAACGAATTTTTTGTGTGTTGGAGACTTTTCAGCTTGTTGTACTGTGTGTAGAGCTTGTCTGAATGGAAACAGGAAAGTCTAAGAATTCTATTGTACTTCTTGTTCTCAATATTTTCTTAAGTTCAAAACTAACACCGAGTTATGTACAAATAACAGTTAGAAAGGTAGAAATTAAATTTTATGTAGGCCAAGTATACGGGGCATTAAAATTGAACATTTTCTTGAGGCATCACTATACGGCATACATTCATTGCATGATTAACATTACTTGTTTGGTAACCTCATTTTTTGACTTAGTTGACTTATCAGTCAACTTTTTCAACAAATAGGTAGTTTTTGATTTGGCGCGTTGAATGGTGTAATAATCAAAATAAGTAGGTTGAAGTTACTTTTCGGGTTGTCTTGACTGAAGTTACAGTAGAAGAACATTTTAGCTATTTTTCATATAAATTTTCCTTTATTTTATTAATGAAAAGTATTTCAAACATATTTTTTCATAAACCAGGCAACCAGCCAACACAACAGTTACTTCAACTAGAATTTTATAAATTTTAATAGAATTAACTAATTCAGCTAATTTTACTGTTACCAAACGGGCTCTACATGTACACCACCTAATGAGGTTGTACTTAATAGGAATGCCTCCATTACATGTTAGTTTTTAATGCTCCTCGACTTCATCTTTTAATTATTGGTACCACATATTTACCTTTTAGTTCAATGTGATTGTAATTGTTTTCCCAGCGAATGGCGGTGTGTTTTATTTGAGTCCTGAAAGATAGATGAATTATTATTTCAGGATTCGAAAAATGAAATGTATCGATATATGATTCGAATGATGGACCTATCATTTCATAGGTTTTGATTTATTTAATTTTTATTAATTCAATTGTTAATTTTTTATAAACTTTACTTCACAAAAGTTTATTGGTTTAATAAAACTAAATAATATTTAAAAAAAAATAAAAATAAAAATAATAATAAAATTCGTGACAACTTAGGTCCTAGATGGATAGCTTTCTATCATTAAGGTCCTAAATTGATAGTTTTTCATCATTCGTGTCTTATATCGATACATTTCATCTTTTATGTCTCAGATTGATAATTCATCTATCTTTCACGTTCTGGATCGATAAAATTCCTTGCTAATATGTACCGTACTGTATTCACCAAGGTCAACTTGATACATGCGATATTTTATGGATTCTTCTACTTTTATCCTCTAATCGTGCTTTGTTCTTTTGTTTTGATTGAAGTGTCTGCTTTAGGTTTAAAGATTCAATATATTGAAATTTCTCCTTGTTATAGAAAAAGATTTTTTTTCATAACTCTAACACGGATTTATTTAGAAAAAATTACCCTTTAGTCTATCTAAGCAGCTTTTGTTGGGACTGAAGCTGGGATGTTGTTCTAGTCCGTCTAAGAAGCTTACTGAGATGTTGAAGTAGGGAATGCGGCTTAATAATTTAATTTTTGTGTAGACTTGTTGATTTTAAGTTGTCTTATTATGTTGTATTTTACTATTTTTATTTTGCTTCTTGCCACGCTGCTCGTATTACCTTGTGTCCTGATGTAGACGTTCTGTATAAATTTAGGGAAATGTTAGGTGTACCTCATTCGCATACACCGTGTCTATGCAGATAGAGTTGTCTGTATACAGACAACTTTGTTAGGAAAACAGGAACTACAAAGTTGTATGTATACAAACAACTTTGTCTACGTATACAGATAATGTGTGCGAATGAGGTACACAAAATAAAATACCCGAAGATTTCTCATAAATTTAATGGAAACGGTCTATCGACCCCAATGATATACCTTGAAAATAAAACTCCAAATGATATAGTCGGAGAATTGTGTGTATTTTCACCGTGGAAATCTGGAACTTTAAACTTACTCTTGAGTAGGACATACGGATGATGTTTCGTTTGGTTTATCTTACGGTGAATGAACAACCAAATAATTTAAATAAATGCTATGTAGCACGGAAATTTGACTATGGTACCTTATCGGCGTATCTGCAATTTTTTACAGAGAAAAGTAGCAAATCAACTAACTTAAAAACTTCTTATATCCTCGAGGGAGAATGAGAAGGCCCTCAAAGATTTGTTCGTAGGTGACACCGTTCTGTTTCATACTTGTACAAAAATTGAGAACAGCCCTACTCCCGATTTTCCAACAGCAGTTGGTATGTCGAGGTCTTGCAGAAGTCAATGAAATTCATGCAACCCATGCCGGCACGCCCTCTAATCTCTATGGCCACCCGACCAATAAAAGTTCACTTATCCCCCCAAAGACCTTTGAAGATGTCTCCAATGAATCTTGACCTGTTAGGTTCAGTCACTAACGTTTGATGATAGGTCATGAGGCCATCACTCAACATAGTGACACTACCTTCTTACGAGGTAAAAATTATACTGAAATTAGCGCCAGTATTATTGATAAGCTTTATGGATGTTATTGTGGTCAGATTTGAATTGAATTTTAGACCATACATTATAAGCAAAATAAGCAATGACCAAAGAGCAGAATATATATTTAGATAGATTCAGTATGTACTACTTTGTTGAATGGCTCAATAATTTATGAAGTTCCTGTTTTACAATAAAGAACCACCAGCACACCAGCTCTCACTCAAAGGAACGCATGGATCATGAAATGTACTAATTCAACATTAAATAGTAAAAATAAACATGAAACCAAACAGCATCCCTACACAGTTCAAGCAAAACTCCTACAACTTTGTCTGCACAGCAGCGGCCTACTAATACTCAGGAGAGGCCATGTTCCGGGGTTCTAGTAAGAGCTTCTGCCGTCATTGTTTGGCCCAAAGTTGTTGTTCTGATTAGGGCCCCCTGGGGTGAAGTGCTGGTTAGGAACTTGAGCATAGCTTTGGTTCGGTCCTGGAGCGTAGTTCTGATTTTGGCCTGAAGGAGGAGGAGGGGGAGGATAATTGTTATGCGCAGGACCCGAAGGAGAGTAAGTGGGACGAGGAGGGGGAGGAGAGTAGCTCTGCCCAGGGCTAGGAGGGTAGTTCTGCCCAGGACCCTGTGGAGGGTAGTTTTGCCCACCCGGTGGAGAGTAGCTCTGCCCAGGGCCAGGATGGTAGTTCTGCCCACCTGGAGGAGAGTAACTCTGCCCAGGGGAAGCAGGGTAGTTTGGGGAAGAACCGCCAGGGGGAGGAGGAGAGTAATTGTTCTGACTTGGGCTAGGAGGAGGAGGGGAGTAGTTATTCTGGCTGGGGCCAGATGGAGGAGCGTTGTTCGGGGTGGCAGGCCAGGGAGCAGCACTGTTCTGGTTTGGTGCGGGGGCATAGTTGTTCTGGTTGGGGCCAACGGGGCTTCCCTGTGGGGTTGGTGGACCAATTGAAGGTGGGACGTTCGGCCTCGGACCAGCATTGTTCTGGAAATTCTGATTACTCATTTGCTGTCTTCTTTCAAAGTTCCTTGATCTGTCAGAGTTGCGAGGCCTGTCATTGCGTCTGTTTCTTTCATTGGCTCGGGCATTGTTCCTCACCCACTCCTCATGATATTTGGGATCATATGGTACAGCCTGTCCATTTATAAAAGGTTCCCCTGCACCAGAAGTTCAGAGATTAGAATTACTTACATAAATGAACTGTAACTGGTCACAGGGCTCAACAATCCGCACAATAATAAATTACAGATAACCAGCTTGAGCCAGAAACAGAATTTCTCAATTCCCCATCACCACTACGTTATTTGAAACATGTAAGAATGAGATGGAACAGCACGCATGATGTGCTCCAACAAGCAAACTGTTTCATCATTCATTGGGATAAAAGAAAAGCAAGCATGTATCATTTCAAGTGGCACCTTTATATTTTATTGAACCTGGCTCTAAATGGAGTCCGACTTGTCTAGCCATTCTAATCAGTTTAACAACATTCTAATGCAATATGCAAACCACTTTTGCATAAGGTTTTACAGAGAAACAAAAATTAAAATCATTTAGGTTTCACGTATACAAACAAGCATATGGTTAGCGTTAGAGCAATTAGCTTTCTAAAAGATACAAATGCAAACAGCTAATACAATTTTAATAATTGAATAAACCTGAGACATTCTTATAACACAAGTTTAATCTACATACCTCCATAATCTTTATTTCTAACATCCAAGTAAGAATCTGGGAGCACCCATCGAACTTCTGGCAACTCTGCAAATAAAAAAAAAAGTATTGACTGGAAACTGAATCGTATGACAAACGAGATGCAATAGAATACCTCCTTAAAACTACCTTTCAATTTGTAAGAAAGTTCCTCTGACACGAGAGCCCCAAATGCATAATAGTGTCTAGTTGAGACAGAGTAGATCTTCATCCTAGCTTCTTCCTCGCTACAAGAGTTATTGATAGCACCATAAAGTTATCATTTTCAAAACACACAGATAGTGAGGTTCCCAAAAAAATACTCCCTCCGTCCCATAATTATCTTCATTCTTTCCTTTTTGGTCCGTCCCAAATTTATCTCCTCTTTCCCCTTTTAGGGAAGGATTTGTGGTTCACAACCATTCTTACACATTTCTCTCTCCTCTGCACAACTCTCCACCACACATTTCCCACTTTCTTAATCTCCGTGCCCAGTCAAAACCGAAGTTAATTCTGGGACGGAGGGAGTAGTACGTTTACCACATTTCTGATTATTAAGACTAAAACAAGTCATATTATGACATACAAGAACAAGTAGGAATAACGAGAAATCGGTAAAGCAGACAAACCTTCCAACAACCTTGGCTAGAACTTTGATATATCTATCAATTATTTCATCTCTAGTTGGATCACCCTCGGGCTTCTCGACCACAACAAGCCAGTGCTCGAAATCGCACCCATCAAGCAAAATTGACTCTTTTGGGGGGCGGTTTGACCAGTTAGGGTTGGTATCATTGAGTGATGAAGAGGTCTGGCGAGTCGCAAACCCTCGCAGCGTCGCATAAGCAGCTGGATAAAGGTGTCGGGGGGCAACCGTGACCAGCGGGCGTAGGCGGAGGAGGGAGGAAGGAAAGAAGAGGTTACGACACGGAGTGATAGAAGAGTACGAGCGTGTGAAAGCGGTGCTGATGGCCTGCTTTCCGGCGGTGATTAGAGAACGAGTGAGAACGCCAGTCGCCATACCTGCTAGGGTTTATGATGCGTAAGATGAAACCCAGGGTAGAGGGTGGGTTTTATACGCAGTGAGTATAAGAGAAGAAATTCCAAAAAATAATACTTCGTAAACATTA